CAGAGCAAGCAGGGCAGACAAGGGCAGGGAGGGAGGAGAGGAAAAAAGTGTCCGCCTTCATCAAGAGCAAGAGAGCAAGACTGATATGAAATGCTTATATTGTGATACACTTTTCAACCTTATCGTAAATCCCTAACTGAAAATTTTTAGGATTTTTTGTGCTAAGGATATATTTTAAATCCCATGTAACTTTTCCCATCTACAATGTTGGTCAATCACATAAAATCTCAGTAAAATACGTAAAAGCTTTTGGGGAACTTACCGACCGATGTCTGCCTCAGGTCCAGAGGGACAGATCCCTAACCCTAACCCTTTCGCAGGTATAGAAATAGGTTTCTAAGGTTTTTCACCCTAGGGCAGTGGTCCCCAAAGTCCACTGCCTTTGGGGACCCTCGAGGGTCCCCAAAGTCGGCCCTCGAGGGCCGGCATCCTGCATGTTTTAGTTCTCTCCCTGGTGGTAGTAACAACCTTTTCAGCATGTCGATGTTCTTCTTAGGCCATCATTTGATCCAGGTGCTAACCAGGAAGAGACCTAAAACATGCAGGATGCCGGCCCTCGAGGACCGACTTTGGGGACCACTGCCCTGGGGTATTTTCTTGTATTATCTACCAGTTTTTCTCTCTTCTTACAACTTTTTGAAAGGGAACTTTCAAAAAGTTCAAAGGGGACTTTCAACTTTTTGCCACACTGCTTTCCCTTTTTTCTCCTTTTCCTTTTTATTCACTGCAGTGGATAAAAATAGTTTTTACTGTATATGTGTATACTGTATACTGTACATACTATATATGTGCAGTATAAAAAATGGAGAACCAGACAAAAAATAAAATAAATGAAGAAAATATAAAATAAAGTTTAAAAAATAATTTTTTAGGTATCAAACAACACAACAGAAAAATTCAAGTACTGTGAATAGTTCTGTGATATGTGTTCCTCACAGGACAAGACATGGAAAAAAATATTACAAGTGTAGTTAGCTGGATCATTAATGAATTTGATATAAAAATGTCTGTCATGAGAGATATCTAGTGTACATTAAGCAATCTTATAGCTAAAACCAACATGTAAAATCATATTGTGTGTGGAATAATAAAAGAGATAAGAAAGAAACTAACTGCTTACTCTGATATGTCTTTTCCAAACTTCAGCAAGTCAACAAAATTCTGCAGGGGGAATGTACATATCGCAACCAGCAGTGCCTCTCACCCTGGGCAGCTCTCTTCATTTGGGCTGTTTTACAGAACCGCAGTGAAATGGCTATATACTTCTGGGAAATGGTGAGAACATGTTACTTTAAAATCTTTAGTCCAAGGCTTGTGTGTGTGAACCTTTTAGCTTAAACTTGGCCATTTGAAGATGATGACTGTTCTTTCAGAACCAGTAGCATTCATGTGCAAGTCCTAATACTACCTTTTTCTAAATTGCCTTTAATTTAGCTTCATTTCATTGCATCTCAATTGGCTTGCTGTGTCTCCATATCAGGCAGGGGAGTCTGTGCTAAGTGCTCTTGGTGCCTGTAAGATTCTGAGGGAGCTTTCCAAGCTGGAGAATGAGACAGAGAGCAAGCTGGCCATGAAAAAATTGGCACAGAGGTTTGAGAACCTGGCAAATGGTGAGTTTACGCAGATAAAATATTTATCTATTAGTTCCTCGAAGGATGAAGGCCTGAATCTTTACCTTTACTTTTACATATAGAGTTAAACATCTTAGTAACAGGCCTGGGTTAGAGGCTTAACCCTAACTTGGCCATGTTTTGAAATGAATATGGAAAATTTCATTTATTCCGTTACTTTATTTCCAAATGTAAAAATCTCCGGCATTGCTTGTGGAGAGTTTCAGTGACTGTCTGCTGGTCCACTGTCTGGCAGTCACCTTTCTTCTTCGTGAATGTGCGGGCCAGAACCATAGGCATAACTTCCTGAAGAACTGGTGTGGACATGTTCCCACTAACTCTGGCATGAAGGGGACAGTCCCCACCAATATTTCCTGCACCTTTTTTTCTTTATGTGCCTGAATCAAAGCATTATTGTATTCGAAAGCATTAACAGCCAGGTATAGGGTTGCCACCTGTCCCTTAAAATACAGAATCATCCCGTATTTGGCTGTTAAATATCGCGTCCTGTATTGAACCGATACGGGACATGA